CCCTACACCAGAGGCTCCTGTAATGAGAAGGGTAGGCTTGCCTTTTCTCTCCATAAGGACCAAGTTCTTTGGGAACACCAAGAAGCCAGTCAATCAATTAGAGGCCACAGGTATCTGATCTCTTGAGCTCCCTTCCTCCAGCTAACAGGAGTGAATTTTTCCCAAGTCTCTTATCTGACACAAGGAATGAAAATCACACTTTAACCCCAGTCAATTCCTGACTGGCAATCTGCATTTCCCCTTTAAACCATTTGGTAGGGGGTGGCAGGGTTATATTCCAACAGACCACAAAGGGCTTTCCTTACTCTTATACAAAACATGTGGGACCATAATCAACAACAATTTGTTAAGCACCTATTATATGCCATGGGGAACAGCTAGGCGGCACAGTGGCCCTGGAGTAAGGAGGACCTGAGTTCAAATCTGACCTCAGATATTTATTAACTGTGTGACCCTAGGCAAGTCACTTAACCCTGTTTGCCTCAGTTTCTTCATCTGTAAAATGAGCTGGAGAAAGAAATGGCAAATCACCCCAGTATCTTTCCCAAGGAAACCCCAAATGCCAGACATGACTGAAATAACTGAACAACAATAAAATGTGCCAGACATTCTGCTGGGCATACAAAGAATGAAACAATCCTTCTCTAAAGAAGTTTATATTCTAGTGGGGTACAACAGGCACTTGTATCAGTATACACAGAATAATTATAAATGGTATAAATATGAGATAATTAAGGAGGAAGGGTACTAGCAATTGGAGGAAGGAGTGAGGAGAGACTTCATGTAGAAGGTAATGTTTGAGCTGCACTTGAAGGAAGAGAGGGAATCTGAGATATAAGTGAGGAGGAAATGTATTCCTATGTTCCAAATAGTGAGTGGTGGGTGGGTGTGTGTGTGTGTGTGTGTGTGTGTGTGTGTGTGGTGTGTGTGGTGTATAGAACAGAGAGATTGGGAGTATGGGAGTGGAGATAACATACAATGAAGAGGGAAAGATGACTTAGAGTCAGGATAGCAACAGAAAAGCTAGGGGCCATTGGGAGATTGCTCTTTATGCCCTCCACCTGAGATCATTTATTCTAAGCTCTTGCCTTTCATCAACAGATATTGCCAGAAACAATCCTCCTAGGGATATTTTTGTGGATTCCAGTGCAGTACTTGGCATATCCATGTGTTACCTCTTATTTTTGCTACTTGACTCACTCACCTCCATTTTGATCCCACTAATCTTTAGTAATGATTTTTATGCCACATCTCTCCCACAAGTTGGTCATAAGCTGGAGTCCATTTATATGTATCCATTGCCTTTTAGCTCACCTATAATTTCTGAGGCCATGATTCACAATTGTATTGTATCCCCAGTCAGTCAGTCCACTAGCATTCAGTAAGCACCTACTACATGGCAGTGATTGTACTCAGTGCTGGACCGCTAGAAGAATATTTCAGTACTTCTGTGGATCTCATGGATGCGGGGATCCCTTCCGTTGTTCTGATCCAGATCAGAACTCAGCCAGCCTTACTGACTCTGGTCCGTGTTCTTCCATAGACCCTTCCCCAGAGGGTCCACCAAACATGCTGGAGGTCTTCCTCTACATCTTCCACCTTTTACTCTTTCCACATGACTGAGTTTTCTGATCTTACACTCCCTCACTGAAATTCCTCATGCTACTCCTTGAGCATAAGCTGTCATTGGAAATATGATGCAAGTGACTTGCATTCTCCACAAATCTCTACGTGGTTTTCTTGAGCAACTTTGTTCCTCAGGGATTTCAGTGCTCTGGGATTTGCCACCACACAGCGTCTTTGGAAAAACATTTGTGTTAGAAAGTTGGTTCTTTGTAGCAAAGCATTCCTAGGTATCATTAAAAAGCATTGTTGTTGACTCCTTTCAGTCATGTCTGACTCTTTGGGACCCCATTTGGGGTTTCCTTGGCAAAGATGCGGGAGTGATGTGCCATTTCCTTCTCCAGCTCATTATACAAATGAGGAAACTGAGGCAAAGAGGGTTAAATGATTTGCCCAAGATCACACAGCTGATAAGGGCCTGAAGCTGGACTTGAAAGCACTGTATCACCACCTAGCTGCTCCTAAAAGCACTGTGCAGTATACCAACTACAGTCACTCCAGTTCTGGGCCCAATTCACTGTCTGTATGCAGTGGCTCTCCCAAATATCTCTCCTGATGTACAAATTCAATGAGCTGAATATCCATTTGCATGCTTGGAAAATAGCAATTTTCATCCATTTGGTTTTTTTTCCCTATATAATTGTTAAATTCATTGATGAAATCACGTATCTCATTTAGGAGTCCTTGTAATGTTACGGGGATTGATGTAATCTGCCCTGGATTGTTTGTAGCTAGGAGCATGTAGAGGACCACACCATGCATGCATAAGGAAACCCTCTTCCATTTGAATCCTGTGCATAATATTCTCTGTGACAATGGCAACCACTTTAGGAAAATATACATCTCCTAATTTTTGTTTTACTTGTTTGAAGTTAATAGCTGAGGGTTTTTGAACAGTTAGCTCTCTAGTTCCATTTATTGAAGAATCTTATATGTTCTTATCTTATGCATAAGAAACTCCTTGCTGGAGTTCTAACACTTAAAATTATAGCTTAGGAGAGAAATCCTATTAAATTAAAGTTTCCTTTCATTTTTTTTTCCATTTCTTGATAATGGGATAAGGAAGCAGACCTTATTATTACCTCCTGTATGGTGTTCTATCCGACATCACTAGGAAAATGGTTCCGGTTAAAAAGATGGATTAATAATATTTCTTATAAACAGAACTGTTTCAGTGCCAGAAAATCCCACTCTGCATGACACAGAGATATTTATTTTGTGATTTTTAAAAGTCACATGTGTCTCAGTGAAGTCTGGGTCTCAGCTATCGAAAATTACCTGAGTTATGCTAAAGAAAATAAGTAAGAATTATTGTATCACATGAATAAAGCTGGTTATCCCTCCTGTTACCTCTTTGTTTTTGCCAACCAGAAGGTCCCTCAGAGCTCTCTTAGGGCAGGATTTATATGCTGTGCATCTCCAATTTGGCATAATTTGAACAATAACAAAATCACACAGAAAATGGAAAAATTATCCAATTTCATTCAAGCTCTTGGATTCCTTCCCAGACAACATACTCCTTGTCTGTCCCTAAATAAGAGGGAGAAGAGCAAAAAAGAAGGCCTTTTATGCTATTTCTCTCACACAAGTTGATTATATGCTTCAGTCTACCTATCCCCAGTGGAAAGATCACTGGCTCCAGAGTCAGAGGTTCTGGGTTCAAACTCTGCCTCTGATACTTACCATCTGAACAGGACTTGGTAGAATATACCCTGTGATGCTTCATTTAACTAAGGCAAGACATTTAACTTGCTGGGCCTCAGTCTCCTCCACTATAAAATGAAGCAGTTGTACTATCTGGCCTCTGAAAACTCCCCCAATTCTGCATCTCTGATATTGTGGTCTAAGCTGCCAGAAGTAGGAGGCTGTGTTTAGTTTACCCTGTTATAATAAGGGTCCTTACAGAAATTGGTTTAGCTCTGATGTCAGTACCCGTGAGTGTTCTGGTTGGTGGAACATGCCTTAGTGTTTAGTTCACTTACCTTGTAAGTAAGGAAATATTCTGAGTGGCAGACTTCCTTTACAATGAAAAGCATAAATGCTCTTCCCTGCCTTGATTTTGAAAGAAAGATTTTCTCTCTCTCTCTCTCTCTCTCTCTCTCTCCTCTCTCTCTCTTCTCTTCTCTCTCTCTCTTCTCTCTCTCTCCTCTCTCTCTCTCTCTCTCTCTCTCTCTCTCTCTCTCTCTCTCTCTCTCTCTCTCTCTCTCTCTCTTTCTCTCATGACAGCAAGTATGAAGCATCACAGGGTATATTCTACCAAGTCCCGTTATCTCATCAAAGAAAACAATCAAACAGCTGATCTTCAGATCAAGACTAGGGTTTAGGCAAGTCTACCTAGAGTGAAACATATAGAGTAGTAAACAATGAGGGATATTTTTATTTATGATGTTTTATAAATAGTATTTTACTTTTCCCAATTACATGTAAAGATAGTTCTCAACATTCACTTTTATAAGATTCTGAGTTCCAAATTTTTTTTCTTCTTCCCTCCCACCTCTATCCTTTCCTCCTTCCCCAAGATAGCAAGCCATCTGATATAATGCCTATATTTTTAATGCCAGAAAATTGCTTCATCCATGACACATAGGTGGGGTTTGTTTGTAGTAAACCAAGTCATATCTACAATGAAGGCTTTTGCTTCTGGTAGCCAGTAATAATAATAATAATAATAATAATAATAATAATAATAATAATAACAATAACAGCTAGCATTTACATAGTACCATACTATGTCCTAGGCATTTTGCCAAGCACTTCACAAATATTTTTTTCAATTCATCCTTATAACATCCTTGGAAGGTAAGTGCTATTATTTCCTTATTTTATCATTCGAGGAACTGAAACAAACAGAGGTTAAGTGCCTTGCCCAAGGTCACACAAGTAGTAAATGTCTGAAGTTGGATTTGAACAGGAGTCTTCCTGACTCCAGGCTCAGCACTCTATCCACTGTGCCCAGAAGCAGTAAAGGGCAGGCAATTCTTAAATCTTGCCTAGGGCACATAAAAACCTTCACCCAGCCCTGCTCCATTACCTACTCTTCTCCATAATAATTTCCCTCTTGTCCAATGGTACTCAGATCCATTTCCTAATATCTCAGTTCAGTAGATAAACATTACCTGCAAGTTCTGTTGAGGTCCCTTCATCTTATATACCACATCTGCATGTGCTGATCGTATAATGCTTTGCCTATACAAGCCTTTAATAATTTTTTTCATCTATTACTTAATTCATCTCACACAAGGCAAAAAAAAAATAGATTTAAGACCCATATCATCATGTCTATAACATCATTTTAAGGAAAGGTTGTTAGGCTTAAAGCCTAAGGTTTAAACCAATTTTTGCCTCATTTTACCAATGTAGAAAATCAAGACACCTACCAAATCATGTGGGAGAATTCTGCTGCCTGTCTCATTCAGCCAGGTCACAGGACCCTAGATCTCCAGAGTGCCTTCAACTAGGTCACCTTGCAACTCTGTGGAGACTGAGGAGAAAATTCAGGTCTTATAACTCTCAGGCCTATGATCTATACACCCCAAAAATGCTTATTCAAATTACTCACCCATGTTAGTTCATTCTATGGAAAATCTCAGTCAAGCAAAGCAAAAGCTTTCTCAGCACAGAGTGTTATGATAAGTCATATTTCCCCAGTACTTGTCTCCAGTAAGAACGGAAATAAAAAGTAATACATAAATTACAAATTAGACAGCTGACCAGGAGATGAAACCAATGTGACCTGACTTGGTGCATTTTGGTAATGGCCTTACTAAATAAAAATGTTTCTATCTTTGTCCCATTGCTTATGCTGGAATTTTAAAAGAAAGGGAGTTTATAGGGATTAGTAAGAACTCAAGGTCTTTTTCCCCCCCAAACTATGAAAATTAGAATATTTCTTAAGAATTCAGATAAAGGAGCTCTCAACTAAGGAAAAAATGTTGAAATTTAAAAATATATATATACTTCTGTATATATTTGAAAATATATGTATTTTTAAATGTTTGTATATTTGATATATTTTCAAATACCTTATGTATTTTTCTACTGCATCCATATATTTGAAAATACATATATTCAAATATATTTGAAAAAAATATATAATATATATTTATTATATATTTATATATTACATTTATATATAAATTTATTATATTATACTGTATATTTATATCTATTATATTTATTTATACACATATAAAATATATAGGTAGAGTGGGAAAATATGTAGAGTAGATTGGACTTAGAGTTAGGAGAAGCTTGAATTGAGTCCTGACCCCTGACTTTTTTAGCTCTTTCCCATTAAGTCACTTAACTTGTCTAAGCCTCAGTTTCCTCAGCCATAAAATGGGAAAAATAATGCTTGCACTTATCTACTTTACAGGGCTGTTGTGAGGAAAGTACAATGAAGCCTTAAAATGTTATATCAATGTGAAATATTATTGTTATTATTTTCTATGTGTCTAAATAAGATCATTCCTCTCTCTGGGCCTTAGTTCTCTGATTTTTAAAATGAAGAAGTTGAACATCAGACCTCCCAAATTGGCAAAATTCTGAAAAAACAGAAATAATCAGTGTTGGAAAGGTTGTGGCAAGACAAAACTCACTAGTATTCTGTTGGCAGAGCTGGGAATTAATCTCATAGTTCTGGAATAAAATTTGGAATTAGCCCCTATGCCCTGTGGTAGTACTATTTCTGTTCCAAGGCAGGGCTTCTTAAAATACATAATTCTAGTAGTAGAATTTAGAAAGAAACAACGGCTCAAATTTGTTCTTATTTTCCCCAGCTTAGCACTCAGTCTTCAGTTGTGACATTTACATTTTGAAACAGTTTATTTTGTGTCTTATCTAACCATACCTTTCACACAATACTTAGGTACTTAGTAAATGTTTTGGGTTGTTGAATTTTGAACGTTACTAAGAAGTAAAATATATGTTCTATTTATATTTTCAAATGTTATTTATGCAGTGTACCTTAGGAAACTAACATCTGCAGACTAACTTCATGTATGTGTGAGTGATGTGGGCAGAGGTATGGGAAGTTGTATCTCTAAACTCTGAGTGTGATCTCCCTAAATGAAAGGGGAAAAAAATGGATTCAGAGTTTAAAAAACAGTGACAAATTTTAAAAACCTTTTGTTGACTCAGAAAATGACTTCTGAAGTAATTAATAAATTAATTTAACAGTCTTTCTAAATTCATAGAAAGTGAATTGTTAAAAGACATTTGGCTTGGATTAGCTATTTAACATATACAATAAGAAGTATTTTTAATTAATGGCTGTTGGGTGGCACAGTAGATAGAATGGCCTGAAGTCAGGAAGACTCATCTTCATGAGTTCAAATGTGGCTTCAGACACTTACTAGCTGTGTGACCCTGGACAAGTGTAAGGAAGGTGAATTTTAGTGTGTGTGAAATAGATTTTTTGTCATTCTTTCTTAGAGTTTTCTTCCCAGGATCCACAGCCAGAACAATCTCTACTTTCCAGGTGTTAGATATGAGTTCTCACAATCATGATTCAAAACAGTTTCTACTGTGCAGTCATGGTAGGTATAGGGATAAAGTAATGTAAAATTGTGAGGCTGTTGCTGACAATGTGCCTTCTTTGTTGCCCTATAAAGCAAGTGGGCACTATGCAGTGACTGGGGCCCCCATAGGGGTAAATGTGCAGGTTGAATGCTGTGCGTGCCTGGATCGGCCCCCATCAAGGCTTGGGAGGGGGACTCTATATTTTTACCTCAATTGGCCCCCATTGAGGCTTGAGGGGATTTAGGGGAACACACAGAAGGGTAGTTGCCCACCCCTCTTAACGCCAGCCCCTACGATAAGAGTTGTTAGGGAATGCTGTAGGAGTTGGAGCTCCCATTATCAGCAAACACCACTTTGAGAAAACTAGACGAAAATAAAGTAAGCTTATTTAATCCCTTAGTATGACTCCATTCCTGTCTTCCTGTCTGATCGGATCAAAAGCGAACCAGCTAGTGAGAGAGGTGCTAGAAGCCCTCCTGTGTCTCTTTCCTAAGAAGTGGCATAGTCGATATGTTTGCTTGTCCAACAAAAAGTCACCTGTTTGCCTCTGTTTCTTCATCTGGAAAATGAGCTGGAGAAGGAAAAGGCAAACCAGTCCAATATCTTTGCCAAGAAAACCCCAAATGGGGTCATGAAGAGTTGGAGGCAACTGAAAAATGACTGAAAGGAGGAGGGCTTTGGGGTTGATGGAGTAATCCTTCTAGTACCACTTTCTAACTACACATTTTGGCAGGTTGAGTCTGCGGAGGATGGTTAATTATTTCTCCTCTAATGATCCTAGGGGTAACTCTAGGGGTTTGGGGGTATTTCTCTAGTATTTCTTCATGCTGCTCATGAGGCCCACTGATATGGTCTCTGTTGATTATCCAGTTGACAGCAATTAGCTAGCCAGAGTTAATTAGCTTTTAGTTAAGGGTGTTTACTAACCTGGATAAGAACAACTGTAAGAACAGTTGTTACAAAATATTCCCCCCAAAAGTCTGGGGAAAACTCTCCCGCAAGTATATGTAGAACCCAAGGGAAAGTAGGCTTAGTTGAAGTACCCTTCTCCCTCCTATCTCTATATATTTGCACTGGCTGCCACCATGACTACAATGCACTCATTCCTTAACCTTCTCGTTAGAGAATTGTTCTCTCACTTTGTGACAGGCTCAAGCACCATCTTCTGCATAAAGCCTTTTCTGCCTGGCCACCTGTTAGTACCCCCCATAGACTACCTTGTCTTTAATTGTGTATATGTTTGTATTTATTAACTATAATTATTATGTACATATATTTTATAGGTGCTAATTATTTCCCCCATTAGAATGTGAACTCAAGGGGAGTAGAGATTTTTTCCTTCTTTGTACTCAGGGCCTAGCACAGTGCTGGAACATAATTTAATAAATTCTTGTTGATTGATTATATGTGTTCATGGTCTTAATTAGTATGTGTATACCCCACAGTCCAGCTTTATATGAAAAACTATTGCATATGTGGCACTTTTTTGACATAAGGGTGGCACTTCTATTGATTTAAAACAAAGGTGTGTTTTTTAAAGTAGCTCCAAGGAAGGAGAGATTATTGAACTGGACAGGAAAGCATTTATTAAGCACCCTGCAATATGTCAGGAATTACGCTAAGCACTTTATAAAAATTATCTTATTTTATCCTCACAACAACCCTGGGAGGTAGGTGTTGTGATTATCCTCGTTTTACAGTTAAGGAAACTGAGACAGGTTAAGTAACTTGCTCCCTCAATTAGAAGTGTCTGAGGCCATATTTGAACTCATATCTCTCTGACTTCAGGCTCAGAGTTCTCTCCACTATACTACCTAGCAGCCCAGAAGTTAAATGGAGTGTGTGCTTGTGTGTTGTGTTGTTTTCAGTCATGTCGGACCCTTTATGACCCTATGTAGGGTTTTCTTAGCAGAGACACTAGAGTGGTTTGCCATTTCCTTCTGAAGCTCATTTTACAGATGAGGAAACTGAGGCAAACAGGGTTCAGTGACTTGCCCAAGGGTCACACAGCTAGTACATGTCTGAGACCAGGTCTGAGTCCTCCTGACTCTAGACCCAGCACTCTATCCCCTGTGCCACCTGGCTGCCTCGTTAAATGAATTACCTACATATCAGTAGTAAGCAATAATATATAATTCACTTTTATGTGGTGCTCTAAGGTTGTCAAAGGGTTTCCCCCACAATACCCTTGTAAGGAAGACAGTGCAGGTATTATTATGATCATTTTACAGATGAAGAAACTGCAGCTGAAAGGTTAAGTGTCTTATCCAAGGTCATATAGCTAACACATATCAGAGCTGAAATTTATGATCATTTCTTCTAAAGTTTCGCTATACCAAGAGGACATCATCACTAGTTGGATACAAGAGGAAGGGAAGAAGTTTAAGATAATACTGAGGTTGCAAACGTAGGTGACTAAGAAAAGGAACATATTCTGGACAGAAAACAAGTTGAAAGGAGAAGCTAAAAAGGCTCTCAAGAGGTTAGCCTGTCTACTGCCTCACCTCATACCTAAATCACTTAGAATGAATGTAGCCTGGGAATATGCCTTGCACTTCTTTAAAATTTTTATTTTATTTTTAATTTATGGAACAAAACAAGCATTCCCACAATATAGTATAATAAAAAAGATGATTATTACACATGAAAACATATATATATATGTATATGTATATATATGTATATATATATATATGTGTATATATATATATATATACAACTTGCTATTCCTGTTAAATTTGCAACTAAGTTATTATGTAGATTCTTTTTTTCCCCTTTTTTTCTCTTCCCCCCACCACCCTAGAGATGGCCACCATTAGACACAAATAGGTTCCTTGCAATCTTACAATAATAACAGTTGCTAACATTTCTGTATTGCTCACTATGTGCCAGGCACTGTGCTTCACAAAATATCTCATTTGATCCTCCCAACAGCCCTTGAATGACCATTTTGTTTTGTGCCCAAGGAGGTGATTCCGGAGAAACCGACAGAGCAATTTCTGATGATCCTGGTATGTATGAGAGGATGATTACCCCTCTCCTTCATCTACGGTCTCAGTGAGTTCTCATTGCAGTAATTCTACTACAGGATAAGGGAGGTACCATCTGTGTGGCGCCATGCCCTC